AGTTTACTGTATGAAAATATAGTATGAGTGGCGTTTGAGGAGAATGGTGAGGATTTCTGTGCAGGGAGGAAAAAAAAACTCAGACAAAAGCTAACAAAAGCAAACAAACCAGCCCATTCCTGTGACTGGCTACTGCTGCCTGGAGAGGCACCCTCTTGCTTCCAGGGGGTGATTCCAGGTTGAGATCTTGCAGTTGGCTCAGCTGATTGTCTGTGCAGCAGCCAGGCTAGCCCAGTATTTAAGTGGGTAGGTAGTGGGAACACAGGTGTAGCATAAACCTTGCTTTGCATGGCATGTCATCTTATGGTGTTTGTGTGTTGTGTGTTTTGTGGTTTTTTTACCAACTTCCAAGAGATTTTAGATGTTTTCATTATTGAAAGCAGCTGTTGAAGAAAAGATTTCCAGGAGGCAACCACATGCTCTCGTTGTACAGAAAATTTGTGGCTACATCAGTGTTGTATGCTGGACTCTGGAATTGCTCTGGCTTGCTGCTGGAGTACGTGCAGTTAAGTTACACCATAGGGAATAATTTGGCAAATGTCCTGTAACAAACTTAAGAACTTTTTTACGCTGAAGCTCAGTCAGATGCAAGTAAATATGTACAATAGTGGTTTGGCTTCCACCATCTGCCTTCTGCTCAATTAATGATAATATTTTAGTTTATTTTCCTGGATTGGGGTAGTTTACGTCAGTATTTAGGGGTAGGGAGTGGAGCAAAAAGGAAGAGAACGTCATCTGTTTCTAATAGTGGCATTATTCTCCATGGTCAGGGTTTTCTAATTATAGCCTGGATAAAATATCAAATTTCAAAGTCTTTCACACAAGGAAGGTCTCTGTTTCCAGTGGTATTAGATACACATGCATCCCACCAACATATGCATAATAAGCATTTTGGGTTTTGATTACTAGCTGATTGTTTGGTGATATATTGGGAGAAATGAAAAAAACTGTTTGATATAGAAGTATATCTTGCAGATGGGTATTCATGAAGTGCTGATTTCATTTAGCAGCCAGGGAAGGTTTCCAGGGTTACAGTAAACCTTTTCTGCCTCTCTTGCTTTATGACTGACCATTGGGGCAACTGATTAGAATTTGAAGTAGCTGATTGATTGTGTTATGAATCTGACCTGAGAAATGGCTTCAGAGATTTTCTTCTGAGTCTGCTAAAGGTAGATGGAACTAGTGATGTTTTAAAACAAAAAAAGTATAAGAAAATGTAAATAAATAGGAAGAATCCATTAAGTTGGAAGGTTGTTTTTTTTTCTACTCTTCTAGAAGAAAGTCTCTGCTGTGCTTGCTCCCATTTACATGAAGTTTCTGTGATTTAGGTTTTTTGGAAAACCAGAATTGATTCTCTTGCATTACTTTTAAATGCTACATACAGAAATAAGATAATTAAGAGGTATAACAGGGTAGTAGCAAAGCCATATGAAATGTTACTCACTTTTGATTCCATTTTCTGCTACTATGTGGTAGAGATTTTGTAGAAATTTCTAAAATACTCTTATTCCTGTGATTTAGGATCTGTTGTATCAAAGGTTAAAATGCAGTGCCAATTAGATGGGTGGCCTAGGGTGCTTTGTGGTAGGCATAAAAAGGTATTGATATGATTGAGAAGCAAGTTTTGATTTTCAATCTTGATGATGTTCAAAGGAAAACCAGTAGCAACTTGCTGTATTTTTTTCTCCCATCTCTTCATGTTTTCCTTGATGAGAACAATCTTAAGCATTGAAAGACTGATTCTTGATGTATACAAATCATGTTTAAATGCATTTACAGTCTTCAAATAAAGACTGGCTTGATGCAGCAAAAGCTGAAGCATGCTGAGAAGAGAGCAGTAGTTTATTCATAACTCCTCTTGCTTATTCTTGGACAACACTTCCCAAAATATGGTTTGAATTTTGGATCATCCTGTGTGGAGCCAAGAGCTTGAATTGATGATTCTTGCAGGTCCCTTCCAACTCAGGATATTCTACAGCTCTATCATATGAGAGGGAAAAATCTTTAAGCAAAAAGTTGTCTTCGACAGGATTTGGTGAGAAGGAACTTTTTTTTTTTTTTTAAGCTTTTCTTACTGCTTGAGTTACCCAACACTGGCACATGTTGCCCAGAGAGGCTGTGGAGTCTCCTTCTTGGACATCTTCAGAACTTGTCAGGACAGCCTCTTGGGCACCCTGTCTAGGTATCCTGCTTGAGCATGTGTTAGAACAGATGGTATCCAGATGTCACTTCCTATCTCAGCCATCCAGTGAGTCTGTAAACTTACTGCTATGTCTGCAGGAGTAATTACATCTTCTAAGTTTTTCTATGCTTTGAATTATCTTTCATTTTGATAGCATTTCTGAATTTTGTGTTTTTTGTACTATGAGGAGATGTTTTAGAATGCAGACCAGTTCTTTCCAGCTGAGCCTACAGTCAAGGCAGACTGAAGCAATATGCTCTAAGAAAATGTGTGAATTTTCTCATATGTTTCAGTGAGAGTTAATGGGAAGACCAATTAGGGCAACTTGAAAGCAAAATTGCTAGGTTTCACTTCAAAACAAATTGTCAGATACATCCAACTGCTGTTGGAGGATGTACATGCTGTATTTCAAGTTTGAGGCTGCTTGTAAGTTAAGAATCAGAATTGAGGAAAACAAATTTAGGTCTAATTTGGGACTTTAAATTTAGAGTAGAAGAAAGCAAAATAATTTTTTTCTATATACAAGTAGCTCATTTTACCAGTAAAAATAGGTGAAGGAATGCATATACTTCTAATTATTATTGGTTTTAATTCTAGTTTGAAGCTGGTATCTAGATTGCATTATCTATGTTTTAGACCAAAAACTCTATATTGAATACTACTGTAATCTTGTTACAGAACTGTATTTGAGTATACAGGTTGGGTTTCAGCTCTTGCCATTCTCTTGCAGATGTGACATTCCTACTCATAGAAATCAACATATCCTAAAGCACAGAAAGCACAGATCTCCACTGTCAAAGAGGTCTTTCTGTATTGTGATGTTCTCTGCACCTGATGCAGGCAGATTGGCTGCATGTGGTGGGCACATTGCAGTTTTAGGAACTTGGTGTTGCATATCACTGCCTCCACTGCTGTGACAGCTGTTTGGCCAGAGAACCACAATTCCTTCAATTTTAAATGGATTGCATAGCATTCTGTCTTCTTTGCTGTGTCCCACTTCTTGAGCAGTGTCAAGGCAGAAAACAGCCATGTTTCTCTGTAATACAGAATTCTAAGGATGAAGTGCAGAGAGGAAGGAGGGGCTTTGGTCTTGCTTGTAGTGGTGTCTCACATTTGTTAGCAACATTGTGCATCAAGTAACAAAGCTGGTAGTGTTATTTATCTCATTCTTTCTAACAGGACCGTGCTGTATGTATATATTTTTTTTGGCATTCAGTGCCCTATGGGTAGCTCTCAAACTGTTGGTCTGTTTCAACCAAATCTGACAATTCTGTGGAAGTCTTAAAGATGTCCACATCCTGTAACTGCTGTGAAAACAGGCAGCTGGGTAGAGGTGAGAAATAATGTGGTATAAGCTTTCTCTTTAAAATGAGAGAATTTATGGTGGGGATGTTATGAAGGCTTCAGCAAAGATTCTCACATCCTTAGTGGCCTTGGCTGCTTTAGGAGTCCGATGTGTATGTCAGAACCCAGTATCAGTTAAGGAAGCATTAATTATTTTGTGGAATATAATGCATTTTTCTCTGAGATGAGGAGTGTGCATTTATTGCTGCGATATTTTGTGTTGCACTTGTGATGCAAGTGCACTGAGTGAGAAAGTCTTGTCCCGAAGAGGGAGGAGTATCCAAGCTGGGGATAACAGATTTTGATTTTGTTACACAGAAGTGCTGGTCTTCCTGTCTGTGGCATGGTGTATTGGAATGCATACACAATTAGTAACGTGTTCCAGCTTTTTGCCAGATCATACTAACCTACTGCAGCCATCAAGCTGCGTATCCTAGCTGTAATTTCAGAGCACTTGGTTGGGGTGTGTGTGTGTATGTGTGGTTTAAGAGAAGTATTAGGATTGTATCTGCCTTGCTCTGAGCAAAAAGGATTCTGAATGAATAAATAAATTAGCTCTTTCATTCTCTTATCTACTTTAGACTTAATAAGCCATATGAGCTTGGGTAAGGTGTAGCCATGTGACGTGGTGGGAGCTGATCCTCTAATGAGAGGATTAGGTGCTTATTTCTGGTTGTCCATGTTCTGTGATGTGAAGCACCTGTTGCTGGGAGTGTGAGAGGTCTCAGGCTGTCCTCATTCACCTTGATCATCTTTGCTCTTCTATCACTTTCTGAGCATCATCTTACTGATTTCTCTATTCTTGGTATTTCAGTTTGGGATACAATTAATAAAATATGCTAAATATGCTGTGTCCTGTTTGGATTTGTAAATAATACAAAACCTAAAAGGAACATAATATTTTTTTAGAATCTTTTTTTTAAATCAAATCACCTGATGAAATGTAGGTTTAGAATAGTGAAATGTGAAAGGGATGCATAGTACTGTCCAGAAGCTGTTATTAATCTGCCTTGTCTCAACACTTTTGTTTTACAAAGTGCATTCAGTGAATTGTGTTCCCTCAAAGAAGGAGAGGAAGGGTGTTGGAAGAGGAACAAATCAGGGAGCTCCTAAATTGGGTTGCCTGTATCATTTGTGTCATTAAAACTATTTTAAGTTGTAGGGAGAGAGGAGAAAGCCTTACCTTGCGTGTTGAAGTTGGGAAATAAACACTGCACTCTGTCCACAGTCTGATAAGTGTGTCTGGAGCTGCTCTTGCCCCTTCTTAGTGCAGTTCTCAGCAAAGTAAATTTGAAAAGATCTCATTTTGAGAATGAAAGCATATTGAAATCTTGAATGGTTCAGAAGACCCTGTTTTGTCAAGAAACCTATTTCCTTCTATTTTTGCATTTCACCTTGAGGTTGATGTTTTGCCCTCTGTGTGCTGTTAGTATTCATTTTGTATTGTACTTACGTAATAAATCTTTTTTCCCAGATCATTCAACTTCAAGTGGTACATCCTCATTTAAGCCCAGCCGATCACTGGTTTCTATTCCCACTGCCCATGTGATGCCGTCTAATGCCAGCTCTTCACTTTCCAAACACAGGGAAGCTTTCAAGTCTGATGGCTCTAAATGGAGTACAAGCTTTGTACGGTCAGGAGGAGGCAGAAATCCAGATGCCCTAGACAATTCTCTTGATATGAAAGCTGCAAGACCTGTAAGAAAATGGTCCTCCCTGTCTAAGCTCAGCTCACCAAACACCTTCAGCCAGGATGGCAGTAGTCATTCAGCAGACTCCAGAGCTGGTACAGACAAAGCTGTGTCACCACCGTTAAGGACAAATGGACCGAACTGTTTGCATGACAGCATGGAGTTGCTAAAAATTGAGGACAAGGAAATAGGGAAAAAACGGTCTTCTCTACTGGACTGCAAATACAAATTTGAAACGTGCAACAAAGATGATTTTGTTTCAGATTCCTCGAGTAGGAGACATGCCTTAGACTTGAACTACAGTGCCTTACCCGAAAGCAAACCTGTGGCAGCCAGTTGTGAAGCTTTTGGACAGAGATATGCAACCTTGGGACAACAGGCTGTGAGTGGAGCTCCCATACAGCCAGCAGTGAGGACTCAGATGTGGCTTAAAGAGCAGTTACGGGCAAATCCCCTGGACTGCAGGACTGCAGAAGAGCCCTATGGTGTAGCTGCATGGCACGTACAGCAGCTTGAAGACTTCAGGCCAGGAAGTGAAGATCCTGTGCAGGTAAGGCTAAAGCTCGGTGTTTGCTGCCATCGTGTGGCATCTCGTGTTATATGTGAAGAATAATGCCTTTCATACAGTTTTTAATAAAACACAAAAGGAAACTCAAGTCCTCTTAACCAGGTGGCGGTGGTTTTAAATGTGTATTGGGGTTGCTGCTGCTTGTCTTAGTATCATGTGACTGCCAGCAATTTTCTTCTGACATCTGTTTGCTGAGATTCAATCTGCTGGTTCATGTGAGACCAGCATCTGTTGTGAAGCTGGATACAGTAAGAGATTAATCAGAAAACATTTTTAACAGTTCTTAAGATCATTTTTTGTCATAGTGTAGTAGGGGAAATGTGAATATCTATTTTCATCTGAACTGAGAGATTTAATTTACACGATCAGAAGAACTGATATCGCGTACAACAATATCACTATGTCCAGGACTTAAAAGCTTAGTTCAGTTTGTTACTACTGCTTATTTGTTTAGTAAAATAACTGACTACTGTTAGCTGAATCTAATCACATTTATTTAAATAAAATGTGTTTGTCTTATTTGAAATTTTTTCATGTAGTAAACATTAATTATGTGGTTTTTCTTTTCTTTTTTTTTTTCTAAGATAGTATTTTTAAGCCTTTCTGATGTGAGAATTCCCAGTCTCTGTTTCAACCTCCTCCCCTAATGGGAAAAGATAGCTTGTAAGGGAAGGCAGTGAAATAGAAATTTTCATGCTTATGTATGTAGGAAGAGTTGTCTGAAAGTTGCAAGGAGATTACAGTATGTAAACTTTCACAACAGGCAGTGTGAAATTAGTCTAGGATACTGTCCCAGAAAAGATAATCTAGCTGTATGTGAAAATAACCATTTCTTCCAGCCTGACAATAACAGTTGTGCGCAAATGTTGTTGTTTGTTCCATTGTGCATTGTGGGAAAGACTGACAAATTTAGAAGTTCTCAGGATCCCACAATGCTCTTAAAGGGATCTGTATTTTTATTATTATTTAATAACATAAAAAGTTGAGGCTGATTAATGTTACCAAATTAGTATTATTAAGACTTTTTTTTTAAAAGGACATTTTTCTAGGTTCTTCACTTCTCACAAGTGTATCCTCAGTCTGGTTGTGATGAAATGTAGTCTCCTTTTTTTATGGAGCAGATGAAGCCCTGGGTGTATTACTATGGTTACTGTTCAGAAAAACCCTTTTTTTGTGGTTAAGGGTAGGTAGGCAGGCATAGATTCCCAGCTGTATTTTGAGGACAGAGCCCATAGGGGGAGCACAAACACTAGTTACCTTTCTGGCTCCGTGTACAAGATGGTGATGCAGCTTTTGTGAATGTTTGTAGGGTCATAAAATTGCAGGTTAAAATTTTTCCTAAAGCTGCTTTGTCTTGCTTCTGTTATTTTTATATCTAGATCAGTAATTTATAGCTGGATTGGTGTTTGTTGTGAAATATAGATAGGATCCTTGCTTCCTCAGGCAGGCCGTTAAGCTGTGTCAACCCTTAGTGATAGGGTTGCATTGCCCAGAGGGGTTGTGGATGCCCAATCCCTGGAGGGATCCAAGGCCAGGCTGGATGTGGCTCTGGGCAGCCTGGTCTAGTGGTAGTGCTGAAACTAGATGATCTTTGAAGTCCTTTTCAACACAAGCCATTCTGTGATTCTCTGCTTTTTCCCCCTTACTCAATTGCAAGGGATCACAGGGAGTCTGGCAGTAATTAAAAGGAGTTCCTGGTGACTCTAAAAAACGCTTTCATTGAGATGATTTAGGGTTGCATTACTGGGTCTTGAAACAGGTCTGTCAGATTTCCTTAGGTGAGAGGATGGACTTGTCAAATAAGATTCCATAAAGCAGAAAAGTAAAGCATGGCCAAGAGCTGGGCTCTTCAAGGTGTCCTCTGCTGCTTCCTCTATTTGCAGGCATGATAACTAATAAGGAGGGAAGACAGAAGAGGTGAGGAAGGGAGAATGTTGTTCTGACAAATTTTTAATTATAATTATGTGGAGGTATTAAAAATGTTTTTCTAGATATATTATGTAGTCTGTTGTAATATTTTTTCAAAGATGTGTGCTGGGAACTGAAATGCTATTTTTCTGTGAAGAAATGAACCTCCCAATCCTAAGTGAAATATATACCTGGGAAAGAGATCAGAAAGCATAAGAGAAGACTTTTTTTTTCTTTTTTAATGGAGAAGCTGTGAATGAAAACATGCAAACAACCCTCTATTGTATCTTAGTTTCAGCTGGGATATCTTAGATTCAGCTAGGCCTGTTATTATTGTATGTTTTGGTTCTAGGACAAAATCAAAACCAGTGTTGATAATGTACCAGTGTTTACAGTTGCTGCTAAGCAGTGTTGTACAGAGCCAAGGCCATTCTCTGTGAAAGACCCCTGGAGCTGGGAAGGAACAGAATTAGGACAGCTGACTTAAACTAGCCTAGGGGATATTCCATAATACGTGACATCAAACTGAAGGGGCTTTGAAGGGGGTGGGAGTCCATCTCCCTCTCTTCTGCTACTTGAGGGGGGCTAGATGGGCACTGGTCAGTGGGTGGTGAGTAACTGCTTGTGCAGCACTTGTTGAATACATATATATAGTCATAATGATTTTCCTTTTTGCTATCTAAGTAAAGAGTTTTGTCTCAAGTCATGAGAATCTCTATCCCAGTGGGAAGGGGGGCAGTGAGCAAATGACTGTGTGCTGCTGAGCCACCTGCTGAGTTAAAATATGTCACATAGAAATTTTTCCCCTTTTTCTGTTCTCTGTCCCCTCCTCTTTTAGTGGTTATTCTTTCAGGTATTTTGCTTTCTGTAGGTAAGCATGTATGCTGATAGAAATGTAGTGCATTTTACAGGACTGAAATAATTACTATTTATTGTAATTCTGCTTTAAAACTACATTGCCCTGAACAGAAAACAAACTGAACTTTAATTTAAACAGAGAGTATTGGGCAGCTCTCTGTAACTTTAAGGTGGGCTGGTAGCATATAGAGAATTACAGGCCTTGAAGATGTGAGAATCATAAGGAGAGTTCAGAGTGTTGGGAAGCAGTCTTGCAACCTGTCCTGAAAGAGACTCTCAGAACAGCTGTGATTTATACCAGTAGGAAAGATGCTGTAGATTAACAAAAGCTCTCCTCAGAGAATGCACAGTGTTCATCTGTGGTGTGGTATGTGCAGGCTTCTGAACTGAACGTCCAAGAACGATCTAGGGCTTGTTTGTTGTGTAACATGGAATGAGTATGGAAATGCTTTTTCTAGCAGATTTGTATTTAGCGTAAGCTTTTTGAAGATAAACATTCTTCTAGACTTTCAAGGAACAGATTTTAGTGATACTAAAACAAAAATAACTTTCCTGCAGAGTTTATATTTCATCGCACAATTATTTTTTCAGTGTTCAGCTGTTCTTTCAGTATTTCAGCAGAGGTGACTGTTCTAATACGTTCTAATTTTAAACTCTCAAAGTTAATGAGTGGCTAATTAAACCTTTGTTTAGAAGAAAAAATGCTTGTAATACACAACATCCCATCTACTGAACTTACAGGACATATAAATCTGAATATGAAGGCTCCATGTTTCCATGTAAGTGCATTTCTTAAAGCCTGAGCCTATCATCTGAATGCAATTAGATAGATACTATATGTTAGCCCAGAAATGAAGTTTAAAGAGGTATGCCTTCAAAATTGTGGGAGATAATACAGGAGGAAAGAAGTTTCAGAAGGCTTCATGTATGCAGCACAATACAACTGTGTTAGTTTTTTTCCAGTTCATCCTTATGACTTTTTCCTGTGGCATCATTGTGATTATTTTTTTCATGGTGTGCTAACTTTGATCAGAGATGAGAGATGGAAGGTTGCATAAGTGCATCTTCTTCCATTAATGTATCTCATTTTCTGTTTTTTTTAAATGAGGAAAACACTGTCAAGTTCATACCATATATATGTTACTACAAATCAAATTTTAATGCAGTGAGAAATTAGAGATGCTACAACAATCATCATTTCAAAATAGTGCTTGCATATCGAAACATCACCAAACATATATAAAAGTTTAATTGAAAGAGAATATGCTTCACATCGTATTGTTGTCACTGAATTTTATTCTGAAATGTGAACTTAAAAGTATTTTTCCTTATGATTCTGACAGGTCAGAAAAGTGGAGGAAAAAAGTCATTATAAATGTTTTTCCCAAGTCAAATTTTGAAAATATCCTGCTGAAAAGTATAAGAATTTCCAACATCGCTTATAGTTAACAGAATTAGTTCACTGCTGTGAGCTTTTATGCTGTGTTTCTTTTGCTGTGAAGTTGATTGCAGGCTGACAAATGGATTCAACTTATAGTGAATACATGGGCTCAGTCTAAGTGCTAGCAGATGGTGATAAACCAAGCTTGGACCATGCCTGATTGCAGAAAAAGGCTTGGCATTGTATGACTGGTAGCTCTTCCAATTTTGTGCGTCATCCTAGGAGAATGCTTGTTTCAGTTTCAAGAGCATGTTTCAGCATTTATTTAAGGTTCTGTGATTTTCATTGCTGTCTGGGAGAAGCTTGGTGTTCTTTCATGGGGTGCCTACATCCTAATGGCAGAATTTGTACATAATTTTAGAACTGGAAATAAATGATAAGTGAAGTTACTAGACTCAACGTTGTCCTTTTTAATAAAAGGAATCAAATTTTTTTTTAATGCTGGCTCATTTAGCTCATTTTAGCTGTTCAGCTATCACAGTGATTTCCTTAAGGTAAGGAAGCTCTAGTTTAAGCAAAAGAATAGACATAAAATACTCAGGGTGGGCATTTTGCTTGGAAACTAATTTTTACTCTTCTTCAGACTACAGTGGACTTCATATCAATTTCTTAATTTCGTGATTTTTTTTCATCTTGACTGTTTCATGTACTAGCAGAAATCCTTCTAAATAATATGGAGCTGTATTACTGCTACAACGTCTATCCCATGTACATAAATCTACAGATTTTAAAGCAGAACGTTCTAAGATAATCAAAATAAGTGAGAAAAAGTGGT